GCGCAAAGTGAATTAATCTCAGTTCCATTCCCGCTGAGTTTTATCTGTCTTTTCTTTTTTATTTTCACTCTCTACAGCCGACACGTCGTCGCAAAAGCCGATGAGAGCCGACACGGCCCGTTTGTCAAGTGTCCCTCTCTCCGCCCTCGTTAGTCTCATTGCGCTGGAAATAATGTGGAGGTATCTCTTTCCTCTTGTCTGCCCGTTCCCAGTCCCAGGCGCGCGGGCCGGCGGGAGGTGTGATAGACAAAGAGGGAGGGGGTTGGGAGGGTGACGGGTGGAGGGGGAGGGGGTATGAAAGACAGAACCCTTCTTACGACGCTCGTATTTCAGACGCATCCCCCCCTGTCGCTGACACCTGATGCTGATCGCTTGCCCCCCCCCCCTCTCCTAGGCCCCAACTCCATCCCCACCCCCTTCCCTCCACATCGCATAGCAAATCCAATCGCTACCACCACCACCACCACCACCACCACCACCCTTTGCCAAGTGAAGGCAGACAGGCAGACATTATTTATGGCCTTTCTGAGAAACATCAGCAGCCGTCCGAAGGCAAGACCTTTGCACGAGTGAAGGAGCAGGAGGGGGGGGGGGTCGACTAGCTGCAAATTAAAACACACACAAAAAAAGACAAACACCTCGAGAGAGGATATTTTTCAACCTCACTGCCGTCGGTCTTCTGCTACCGGCGGGCGAAAGGGAGGCAATCGACGCGGCGCTTTAAGCCGGTGAGGGATTGGGCGGCTCAATCGGGACGAGCTGGTAAGTCACGTTGGGCGCCCGGCCCGGCCCGGCCCGGCCCGGCCCGGCCCCGCCCCGCCGCTCGCCGGCGCGGCCGCCGCTGCCGGGGGTCGCCGATAGTCCAAGTGCCATTCCAATAAACTCCCCCGCGCGACGCGCACTCGACAGGACATTAGAGCGTTTCGCCATTCGAGCCACGTGGGGCCGGCGAGGCGTCGCGGAGCCGGGAAGCGGCGGCGGGAAAGTAGAAAAGTTTCAAATTCGAACACCACTCTCTCCGTGTACAGCGCGGGGCCAAACTCGAATGCAAAGACCCCCGAGGACGTGAGGAGGCCGACTGGCATGGCCGGAAGCACGCCGACGTCTCAACAGCAGAAAGCGAAAAGGTAAAATGCTCACTCAAAAATGTTACACTCGTTCTGATGTTAATTTTTTTCCAAACTTGAGTCAGTTCTCTACGACAAGAGCGATATCCAACATAGCACCTATCCCCGCGCCGTCGGTATGCAATACGAACATGTCGAGCAGACTCTCCCGCCCAGCCTTCGTCTTCAATACTGCGAGCGAGAAAAAGGAAGGCGATTCCCTTAGTCGCGCCCTCCTTGCCCTCCTCCCCTCTTTTCCCCTCGGCACTTCGAGCCCGCCGCCACCTCTCTCTCGAACTGATTAACTTTTCGTAACAAATAGCCGGCAACACCTGCACTTGTTTGAATCGAATTGTATAATCAAAGCGTGTACTTTCCAAATCCCTCCAACCCCTCCCCCCCCCTCCCCTCACAATTAGGGCGGCGGCGCGTGGATCTCTGGCAGCGGCTGGAGCCCTATTCCAGTAATGGTGGCGATGGAATTGATTGTCCTTTCGTAATTCGCCCCCCGCCCCTCCCCCCGGCCGGTCTCTTTTCTTTGCAGAGCAGCGCGCTGGTGGTGGTACGCGGGGCTCGAGCTCAAGAGGCAGAGGAAGGATGAGTGCGAGGTGAGGTGGAAGGGGAGGGAGGAAGGGGGGGGGGGGACCCGGAGAGCCAACATGCACTCGAAATCGGACAATATTGGCCTACTACTCGATGGACGCCTGTAATCCCACTAAAGATGGAGCAAAACTCAATAGTATGGTCTGGCGAAAGTAACAAAAAGTAGTGATGCCGCAACTAACATCATACACGATTGTTCCTAATGTACCTATCTTCAAAGTTTTACTGGAATTTAAAGACGGCAACTTTTCAAGTGTGCAGTTTATGATAATAATGGATCTAATTACTGTACTTTTTAACACAAAAAGGAATGTACCAAAAGTGCGCAACTTGTTGAATACACAAGGCTTCTTATTGACGAAAGAGAGGAATCCTCGCAATCAACTATTGTTTCAACACCAAAAGTTTTTATGTACATAGTTACCTATTCATTACCCACAGGGCACAGTGACTCCAATTGATTTAAAATGGTTTACGTGCTCATTGAATATGTTCAATGACAACTGTCCTAACATCGATAACTATAAAAGGCCCCTGGTAGTAGCCAATTCTTTGAGACATATATTGTGTTTAAATTAATAAAATCTGACCAACTACATACACAGGAAAAAGTAATGAATGGCACTCAGTGTTTAAATGAATGTTGGGGACTTACCAAGTAGAATGACTTAACCTTGGCGGCCGAAGTAATCCTCTATCGATAATCAATATCTTCCATGTCACTATTCACTAATAACGTAGGCTGTATCGAAAAGTCAAAATATTAACATTAGTAGATAAATCATGGTAAAAGTAAAAGGCAAAAATGAACAGGAACCTACCGAAATGACTAAATGCAGTGCGTGCACGATGCTCGCGCTCGTTTCCCTTTCTTTGGTTAGACGGAGCTCATTCGTTCAAGCACGGAGTCGGTCTGGTCGGTCGGTGAGTCAGTTGCCGCCTGCCATCAGCTGGCCCAGCAGTTACTAGCAGGTTGACAGGTGGGAAGGTTGGTCAGCAGAGTACATCAACAGTTCGACAGTTTCTTAATTTTAAGAGTACTTTGGCGCAGATTTCGTACCAGTTTTGTTCCATTAGTTGAGAAGAAAAGTGCTTGAGGTAAGTTCGCCGATGCAAGTGATGTTGTTATTGTTGTGTTTTTCTTTGCAAAAGTGAATCGTGGTCGTTAACCTAACTGCCACAGCTCGTTTCCTTTAAAGTATGGTGCCGTCTACGATGAGAGTGAGAGTAGAGTAAGGGACCTGTTTCCATAATGCAGTAAGGCTGGCGTGAGTTACAATTTGGTTTAAATCCAACTCTCACTCCCATGAGAGGATAGTGAGGTTAGAGGATGCTTTCCCTCGCGAGTGCCCCGCGACGTCAGTGACGACGGTCAGCGCGATCTCATGTTTTCCAAGGACGTTTTTTGACGCTTCCAAGGACCAGTGGAAGGATTCGAGGACGGGGCAAGTCCCGGGCACACTTACCTGGGGGAAGTGTCTTGGACAAGTGTGTCCATGTACGATCGCCCTGAAGTTCTATCGTTGTTTAAATACGCTCCACCGCGGTATCCTTTAGTGTGATGAGCACTGTGTGTGACCTTGGGGTTTGCTCGGGGTCCCCACGAGTGGTCTTGGCGGCCGGTCCGGTGGTGGTGGTTGGTGGTGGGGCGGGCTTACTTTCGCCTCTGTTGCGAAGGACATGGCTGCGTCCTCGGTGCTGCTTTTTGTATGGATTTATGATCGCGCCGTGAATAATCACCATTACGTATGCTGGGCAGTCCGGCGCGGCGCTGACTGTTGTCCACTTGACATTCCCCCACCCCACC